ATATATATATATATATATATATATATATATATATATATATATATATATATATATATATATATATATATATATATATATATATATATATATATATATATATATATTTTTTTTTTTTTTTAAATTTCGTGTTTATTAAATATTTGAAAAATTATGAGATTTTACAAGATTTTTTAAGAAATTATGTAGATTTTTACTGAATTTTTCATTCAATAAATTTTTATCGAATTTTTGAAAAAAAAATATAAAAGACATATTTTTTATGCACGTTTTTATAAAAATATGTGTGGAATCATATTTTTTTTTGAAAATTTATGATTTTATATTAAATTTTGAAAAAGTTTTTCAAAAAATCTAGTATAAGATCATAGATTTTTGAAATTAAATTATAATTTTTTTATCGGTTTTTTCAAATATGACGGAAGACTACCAAATCATATGAGATTTTTTGAAAAATTTGAAAGGATCAAATTATTTTGGCCCAGAGAATATATGAATTATCAATTTTTTCAAAAACTTGAAATATTACTAAACATATCAGGTTTATCAAAAAATACAATATGTCAAATTAATTTCTTTAAAAAACTGATAAAAGTGCATACCCAACTTTTTAATATAACAGATTTTTAACTTGTTCTATCATTTTTTTTTTCTCGTGTTTGTTAAAATTTTGTCAAGGTAATCAGAATATTTTTAAAAATTAAGGGGTGTAAGGAAATTTTTTTCAAGAATTATTATATTTTGTTTAAAAGCCCAAAATAAAGTCTATGGGTGCATCTCTTCTATATTGGGCCAAAAAAGCCCAAACTAAATAAAAAAGCCCAATTTAGTTCTACTCGCTGACTTCCTTACATTCAGTCACCGACGATTCTCCTCTCGCGCCCTTACGCTGAGATACGAATTTCATCCTTCAACGGAATTTCAATTCAGCGCTGCGACTTTCTTCTTACTTGTTTGTTTCCGACTGATTGTTGCTTCACTTTGTGAATTATCCATTATTTTTTGAATTTTCGATACCCAATTTGAAGTTTCCGTTAACGTTGTTGAACAGTTTGCGGTTAGGAATGGACGGCGACGGCGAGGAGTTGACGGCGCAGGAAACCGCTCTGTATGATCGTCAGATTAGGGTTTGGGGAGCCGATGCTCAGAGAAGGTTTCTTCTTCTTTCTATTTTGTAAATTGTTATTATTTTGATTTTGATTTTGTTAATTTTAATCTCTGACCTAGTTTAATTTCTTAATTTATTTCACCATTAGAATTTTGTGATTTTGGCTTTGTTACGGATTGAGGTGGTTATGGATTGTATATTACTGCATAAGTTTTATTAAAATCATTTGTAGTATCATATAATGTATAATAATTTAAGTTAAAATACGTTTTTCATTATCAGGGTTTTAAAAAGCGGTCAAAAAAACTGTCGTCGCATAAAGGCTTTCCCGATTTCGGTCGGTATAGATGTCCTGATACTAATTTGTTCTTTAATATAAAAACGGTGATAACGGTATTAGTATCGGCACCTGCTGAAACCATTTTGTCACGGATGTTTTTGCGGCCGCGGACCGTATTTTAAACCCTCTTCATTATTACAAGATGTAAATGATTCGAACAAATGAATAAAGAATACCTTAAATTTAGAGAGGGATAATGAGCCAAAAGAGATATAGTTTATGTTGTGTATTATGTATATTAAAAACAGAATTTTCAATCTATTTCTATAAACAATGTGATGTCACTGTTAACAGCATATGTATTGGTGTTTTATTGCGCCCATAATGGTGTTTCAGTGTAGTTATTTTAAACCTTTTAAGAAAAATGGTATCTGCTGCGGTCTCTATTGCGGTAACAGACCTTTATTTAAAACTTGGTTATGTCTAAAAATAGTGTTCTATACAACTCTAATTAGGGTATTGATTTTAGTTTTCTTTTGTGATTATGTGGTTTTAGATTAAGCAAAGCTCATGTCTCAGTCTAGGGAACGAAAGGAACAACGAATAAAGATTACTTAGAGAAATAGAGATGAGATGGGAGAACAAATTTCAAATTTAGAGAGTGAGAATGAGCCAAGAGAGTTAAACTTTTATAATTTATGTGGTATTATGTATGTTAAAAACAAAATTTTCTTTCTATTTCTATAAACAATGACATTTCACTATTAGTCGCATATGTATTGGCGTTTTATCGTGCCCGTAACGGTGTTTCGGTGTAGTTATTTAAAAAATTTAAGAAAAACTGTATCTGCCGCGGCCCGTATTGCGGTAATGGGCCTTTATTTAAAATGTTGGTTATGTCTAAAAATTGTGTTCTAAACAATTCTAATTACTGATTTTAGTTTCTTTTGTGATTATGTTGTTTTAGATTAAGCAAAGCGCATGTCTTGGTCTATGGAATGAAAGGAACTATATCGGAGGTATAATGGGTTTTATTTGATTTTTTGTTTTATTTAATGCACTTTAATTTTTTTCTCATAGTGCGTAAGTAGTTTTGGTTTTCTTTTGGTCGTATAGTTTTGCAAAAATATTGTTCTAGCTGGAGTAGGTAGTCTTACCTTAATTGATGATCGACTTGTCACTGAGGAAGTGCTTTCTTCAAATTTTCTAATTCCTCCTGATGAGGATGTGTATGGTGGAAAGACCATTGCTGAGCTTTGTTGTGATTCACTTAAAGATTTCAATCCTATGGTTCGTGTTTTTGTGGAAAAAGGTTCTTATTACCCTGTCCCTTGCTAGTTTTTCTTCTACATTAATGTTGTATCTGGTTTCTTTTTTTTTTAATACCGTTTTTTGTTTATCTGTTTCCGTCATTTGACTTGTGTTCAGGTGATTTGTCGAGTTTTGATGTAGAGTTCTTCAGCAAATTCGATGTTGTTGTCGTCAGTTGTTGCTCACGTTCAGCCAAAGTACTGTTGAAACTCCTTTATTGATCTATATATTTCTGTAGCTTTATGTACTACCTATGTTCTTTACTACTTTATGGATATATGTTACTCTAAATTTTCTTTTAAATTCTAACATTGTATTATTTTGCTGTAGAAACTAGCCAATGAAAAATGCCGGAAAGCATCTAAACGTGTAGCATTTTATACCGTTGACTGTAGGGATTCTTCTGGTGAAATTTTCGTTGATTTGCAGGACTATAAATATTCCAAGGTATCACTCTTGTGGATCTAATTTGTCCATGCATATCATCAGCTCTTGTGGCTTTTACTAATTGAGAACTGTTCACCATTAATCTTTTGTTACTGCTCATATAAAAACTAGTAGTTACAGTTAGGTTTGACATGATTTGAACTCGTGACTAGTGTAAATTTTTGAATGTGAATCTCCTCCCAGGATTACGTCTCAGAACCACTTTACTGTGGGGATCTGAATGGGATCGGAGAAGCGGCGGCAAGATTGCGAAAATCGCTGCCAATATTTTTTTCTAATTTGGGCCGGTTATAGTAAAAATATCCCTAACTTCTTTAATTTGAGTGAATCTTGGCCAGCTTTTGGTAAACTCCGGATTTAAAATGGCAAAAAAAGTAGAAATTGAAAAGTTTTACTTCTTCCTAACATAAATCATCTCTTGAGGAAAAATGTCTTGTTTCTTTTCTTATGGCTTCTCATACTTTCTTTCGCTTGTTCCTCTATTTTTGGCAGGTTGGGTGGTTCCTCTGTTTCTTGCAAGTTTTTTTTTACTTAATTTTTGAAGTTATTTATGAATTTTTGTTTACGAGTGTGTTGAAGAATGGGTATAATTTATAATCTATCATTATTTTTAAGCATATGTATATAAGTTTATTTTTTCCCTTTCATTAGAATCTTATGATCAGTGATACGTTCCTTAAGTTACGATCTTTCATCCCCGATCTTGCCTAGACTCTCGATTTTTAAAACACTGCTAGAGACATTTTGTACCTACAACAAATGCGCCACACAATTGTTCTGTGCCCCTTTACGTGATGATTGTTAATAAGATACCATATATTTTCTCTTCATTTTATGAAATAATGAAGATGGAATCTATTAAAATCATCATCTGTGGTAAGGAATTTTCATTGCAATTAGTGATAAAAATCACAGGGGCAAGATTTGAGGACGAAATGAAAGCAAAGGTTGGGATGGATGAAATGTTATTTCAGTATTATCAATGATCCTTATGGTTGCGGATTGTAGTATGTTGGCCATTTGATAGTTATGGTTTATTGAGAATTTTATTAACCTTGTGTGTTTTGCTCTTATCTTTGTTTGTAACAACAGCAAATTTCTCTTTCCGGGTCTAATTCTAGATGATAAATATATGTGAATACTGTGCTTGCTTCGACAACAACCAGTATTTTTATTTTAAAATTTCGTTCTTCCTTGGCAGAAAAAAAATGAGGAAACTATTGAATGCCATCTAAAATATCCAAGTTTTGAGGTATGTGGGTCTTAACTCATTAATGCTGCATTGTATCCTCTCAAAATAGTATTGTATTTACTATTTAACTTATACTTATTGTGTTCCCAATAATAGCTTCCATGTGGCAAAAGAGTAGGCTGATTTTGACTTGGAGGATATTTGGTGCTCCTGATAACCTTAATGGCTTACCCAGTCACTTGCATAAGAGGCCCATCGGAAACATTCAGTTCATCATTTTATTGTTTATGCAATAATTTTATAACGATAATATAAAAGATAATATTCAACCCTTTTCTTTCGAAAATTCCATGAAAACAAAAAACTTATGAGATACTTGCACTTCCTCTATTGCAAGAGGAAAAATTATTATTATAGTCATCAATTTACTAATAGGTATTTAACTTTTCCTCCCCGTCACTGTGCACTCCATTCTGTCTTGATCTACTATGTATATATGTTTTCGAGGGAGTTTCAGTCACCTCTTCTACAAGTCTGATTGTAGTCCACACCTGGTAAAACAAGCTACATGCTGTAGCTTCTGAAGGAACTTACGTGTTTTGCTTATTTTACTTTACAATGAATTATGTATAGTTAAGAGCTTCATATTCCTATGTATGCCTTGTTTCTTTTATGCTACAGGATGCTTTATCAGTACCTTGGAGGGCATTTCACAGGAGAATGTCAAAGCTGTACTTTGCAATGAGAGGTTCGTTAACTATGTAACTTTTATTTTTAGTGAATAGAATACGTGGAATTAGGAAAAAAAAATTTTCAAATCAATTATCAATTATGGGGTGGAACTTTATTTGAAGGTGTTTGCGTAAGGGGTTTAATTTATTAGGTCTTTCAATTACGTTAAGCGAGACACCTTCCAATAAAAGTAAGTATTCCTGGGTTGGTTCAGTTCTATTAAGATTTATGGAAATCCAACTTGATTGCATTTAGTTGATTTGGTTCCAACTTTATTCTGTTTGAATTTTTGTGTTTATCAAGTCAAATCAGACACGGCTAATTGAGAGAGAGCTTTTCGTTATGTAGGCTTGTTGTCTGTTATGTGGAAAGAAATTTTATTTTATTTTTGAAGTGTATTGATTGCAATCACACAATTGTTCTTTCTATAGATAAATGTACAATTAATATCATTTCATGTCACAGTAATAGAGAAGTTTGAAGAGGCTGAAGGTCGTAGTGCGGGAGATGTTTCAGAAGCAGATCTTTCCAATGTTCTCAAGCTTAAAAAGGAACTTTGTACTGCACAAGTATGCTTTTGCTGGAATTAGTTATTTATGTTTTTAAAGTTAACTGCTTTATTCATCCAAACCTTCTGTTTACCTTACAGTCTCTCAATGAATCTCATGTTCCCGACACTCTTCTAGAAAGATTGGTAGCAGATACCACAGAATTTCCCCCAGTCTGTGCTGTTATCGGGGGAATCCTTGGACAGGTATTTTATCATCTATTATGATTCACACATTAAAATGTCTTGCAATAGTTACTGACCAGATTTACTACTGTAACATCCAGGAGGTTATCAAAGCAATCTCTGGAAAAGGGGACCCCATAAAAAACTTTTTCTATTTTGATGCTTCTGATGGAAAGGGTGTTATAGAAGACATATCTGATTCAAACGCTGGAAAGTAACTTCTCTGGACAGTGTTTCTTATGCGAGTCACGGGCAATCATGGTTGTGAATATGGAACCTTTTGCCTCACTAACTGCTCATTTATAGTTTAATAGTTACATATTTGTTTTAGCCATTGACAATTTAGGGTCAGAAATGTTATGAAATTTAGACACTTGAATGTATTTATGCTGTCTTCAAAGTTGCAAAGCTTTGCTAGGAAAAAAGCTCGACGTGTTTATACTCTGGGTTCTCTAGTGGGTAAACCTGGTTAATTGAACTTATATAGTGATGATTTTTGCTATAGTTGAGTTGATGACATCTTTAGTAAGAAGTTTTTTCTCCGAAAAATACACTTGAATCCTATTTAGCAAACTACTCATCTTTTATCATTTGCAAATGAGTCATGTTATATGGACACCAAAAATCAACACAGTATGCAGCACCGTATCCCATATATTAAAATAAGCATAAATTTTTGCTTTCACATGCAAGGTGGAATGAGAGTAATATTAAAAATTTAAAACCGTATAATTATGATGTATTGGTGTCCATTTCAGTGTTCAAATAACATTTCTGTTTGCAAATGAGTAATCATCTAGTTTAAGAACATTATATTAAGAATTGAAATTGGCAAATTACCGATCTTTCAGACAACATTATATTGGAGTTACATTGTTTAGTTGATTGCTTGTAATAAAGCTTCTCAAGATCTGATCAAAGCTTTCAGCCGACTTCTCGACTGGGTGAACATGCATCCCTTCGTAAGTTGTTTCCACGATCTGCTCATCTTTGGAATGTCTTTGGATGTGTTTTCTTACATTGCATCCTCGATAAGAGCATTTGTAGTAACTCCTGATTTGTCAGACAAAAATGGCACAATTGAGACAAAAAAATGGCACAATTGAGATAGTTTTCTTAGTGCTGAAAAAAATGTAGAAGCAAATATGCATTCAAATCCAAACTATGAAAGAATGAGACAAACCTGGGGAATTTGCTATTTTTCACCAACTTTTCCCCATACTTTCTCCACCTGAACCCATCGTCTAATTTATCAATCTGACTCCTTGTTTGAAATACATATTTGTGCTTCATGATTTCTTTGCCTCTTCTTTCACTCAATGTCTCCTTTCTTTTAGATTTTAGAAATTCTTCACTTTGAACATGAACATTAGAACCACTACTGGGATTAGCTTCAAAAGGAGAAGCATCAAGTGAAGATGAGCTAGGCAATAACACTTCATGTTTCTCCATTGATTTAGACATGAGGTATAGCACTTTAGCTAGGATTGTAACTTAAAAGATGCATGTGTTATATATATATAATACGGAAAAATGATGAAGGAAGCATGCATTTTCTAAGGAGATGAAACATGAGGGCGGCAAAAATGTCAACATGTTTGGTCAAAGCCAAACTTATATGACGAGAGATTAAACGGATTCATGAAATCAACTACATAAGAGTGTAAAAGATGGATGGGGTGCCGTGAATAAAACGGAATATGTTTTTCTGGTCTCTTTTTGTTTTATTTTGTACATTGATTTTGTTTTTTATTCCAGAAAAAGAAGTGACTATTGCTGTGTTAATAGTATTTAATGAGAAACATGAGACACACAACATGGAGATGGCTTCGGGAAGGTTGTTAAACCATTGCGGCAGACATTGAAATATAAGACTTGTTAATAAGGACCACTTATAAGCCAGTTTCCATGAAATTGCTTGTGAAAATTATATCACCAATTTGTCCAATAAATAAAACATAATAAAGAAAATCTTATATTTAACTCTTTAAATCATGTGCGTTTTTTAAGTCTTGTGTCTGTTTGAATGAGATGAACTTTTGACACTCAACAATTTGGGGTTCTTTATGGTATGGTTAGCAAGAAAACCGAATCGAATCGAATTAAATCATATTAAAAATTTAAACTGAATAAATTATTTTAATTTATTCAAAATCGAATTGAATCACAATCATTGATTTAATGTATCGTTTTGAAATTCTAAATTCTGTTAAAAGTTAATTTTTCTTAAACCAAATAATTTACTAAAGAACTGAATCATTGAAATATTTTTAATTTTTCTTTTAAATTAAAATTTATTTTTGATATTTTTTATTTTCAATTTTGGTTCAGTAGGTACATTTTTTATTGGTTCGATTTCAGTTTCGGTTTGATTTTAAAACTGTTTGTATAATATGGTTTGATTTATTAACTAAACATAATTATTCGATTATTTTAACTATAATTTGATTCAATTCGATATTCCAATTTAATTCATGATTTCTTTGAAAAATCCTATTCAACATTACTATTTTTTTTCTTTTTATAAAATAAACAAAGTTCACTTAGAATTCACAACCATTTCTCAAGCCAGTTAAAGGAAATTTGTTGTATTTGATAAACTTCAACCACAAAAGCTCACTCCTAATGCTATAAAAAAAAATACTAAAGTGTATATTCGTGCGTGACATAGGACAGAATTTTTTAAATTAAAAAATATTTTATAATTATTTAAAATTTAGAAATGAATAAAGATATATGATAAAAACCACGTTTTATCATTAATAAAGATATTTACAGTTTTCAAACCATGTTTTATATCAATAAAGATATTTTTTTAATATCTTTATCACATTAACTTTTTCTTTCAACCACGTTTTTTAATTAAATTCTTTAAAAAAAAGTCATTTATAACTTCTCATTTTATAAGAATTATATAATCCCACAAAAGTGTTTCTATTTGTTTTACTTAAATATATTATCCCTTTCAATTATTATTCATTAAAAAAATAAATGGTCAAAAATGCAAAAATACAATAAACTATAATCTTATAAATAAGCAGCTAAGCTATTAACATAAGTTGAAAGTATCTGCTTTTGTGTAACAAATTAACACAATAATGCCAAAGTAGCAGAAAATTAGAGTCAATATGAAATTATATCCGATAGCAGAAAAATTACATTTACTCTTGTAGTTCAAGTTTATATCTAATAGCAGAAAAACTATATCCAATAGCTTAGAGACCATGAAAAGTGCTTCCTGATTCTAATAGCTTAGAGACCATGAAAAATTATATCCAATAGCTTAGAGACCATGAAAAGTAGTTCAAATTCACATGCTTAAAATGCAAAGATTGACCACTGCATAGAGACCATGAAAAGTGCTTTCATCTTCTTCACATCTTGACTTGAACAAATGAAGATTCTTTTCACAATGTTACAAAATTCGCTGCTAGATAGTATGATTGATTCCGATCAGTAGGACTATAACGGAATTTAGGATATACTCACGACCTTGGATCATCTCTGACAAGCATAACTTTTCTATGATGATACATGTTCACATAAGTATTAAACCGCCTGGAAAAAAAATCCGTCGAAAAAAAAATCGAGTTTTCGATACATAAGTATCAAGATAAAAATATTTGCATTGTTTAAACTTAAGAGATTCTTCAATTGAGGCTATACTAAATTCAATTGAAAATTTCGCCTTTGCCCAAAGAATCATACAAACTGCAACTATATGTGAAATTTGTTACATTAAAAAAAGTCAAAAAATATTTCAAAACATGATAGAAATTGTTAAGGATCTAAGAAATTACTACTTATAGTAGGCATCCACACATCTTATATCAGTTGCCTTGAATCCAGCACACACCTTCTACAGCTTATCACAAAATATACATTAGTTATTTCACTAAGTACATTTTCAAAAGCATTCTAAAACTCCATTAAAAAAATAGTAAATGATAGCTCAAGGATCAATCGGTTAACCGAGAGTCATAACCATTGTCTTATATAGACATTTGTGAGTAGTTTCCCTCATTATAATTATTATAATCATTTTAGAATACTGAATTTGATTTGATTAACAAAGAGGAAAGTTGTATTCTTTGGCTATTGTGTTCATGAATGAGTTTAGTTAAATTAAAGATTTATTTTTTACATGCTAAAACATATAGTTCAATCAGAAATCAAAGAAGAATATTAAATAGTTAAAAGAAAAAAAATAGTACCTTTGACAAAAATCTTGGAAGCCTTTCTACGAAGAAAGAGACCTTCACTATTCTTGAATGAAACTGGACAATTAGAAATATGAGATTCACATTGAAGAGTTTTCAACAGCCTTTTTGTCCTTCCTAATTGAAGCCGAGAAAACTGAAACTGACGACTTTCTTGAACCTATATAAGATTGTTAGTATCAAACAACAAGCTTAAAAGTAATATATTATATCTTCATTCAACAATCAAAATTTTATAAATTGTTCAAATCTTCACATAGCTTCTCCTTTACTGCTTCCTCATCCTTCACTACTTGCACGGATGATTCCCACACCTACAACATAAGCACTCAAGATATCAACTATATAAGGACCGATTAATTTCGACTGCAAACAATGACTTCTCTTTAACAATGCCAATCCAATACAAACTGAATTTTGGCTCTCCTAAAAACATCGGTTAGATACCTGAAACATCAACAATGAAAAACATTGAAACACCTAAGTAATAATTATAAGCCTTTATATTGCTTTTAACTACAAATGCTGCAAAATACAAAAGATGCTGTAAATTTATATCAATGACAAAATAAAATTATGAAATCGACGTCGCGAGTAATTCAAATCAAAACATCATATTCAGATTAAAACATACTGAGAAGTATGTCCGCGTTTCCGACTTGGCTGACCCTGCAAAGTTTCAATGGACTTATACTTGGAGCCTGTGAATGTGATTTCTCTAACTGTATATGGGTTTTGAATTTATGGCTGCTCGGTCCAAGAATCTGTCAAAACATAACTAAATATAACATTTTGATATGCATGTTTCAATGATAATTAATATTAAAAAAAACAAAGTTTCAATTGTTAGATCTCCTTCCTACATCATCAGATGTCATTACATCATAACTTTTATTTGCTAAAGCCTTGATGATCTTCTCCACAGGAAAGGTAGACTACATAAAGTTATGACAAAAGAGTAAGTTCTCAAGTGCAACGTAAAGTAAGAATTGACTAGTTAGAAGTATAGTCTATAGATTTTTTTAAGAGTAAACATTATAATTTTTAACAAAATAAAACATAAAGCATTAATCAATGTGTTGGCACTTATCTTACAAAACTAAATAAAGTACATTTCAACCGATATTTTAAAAGAGCTGCAGCGCCAACATAAGATCAGGTCGAACAATTGAATTCATCATGAAGCACATTGTCATGAAAGTTAATATCAATATCAATATTTAGTCTAGCTGTCGAACAATGAATCACTTCAGTGTGAGAAACCCCTTCATAAATTGATTTTGAATAATTACAAATATAATATAACATGTTTGAATAAACCAAAATTACATTTCCCTCATAATGCATTATTATGAGTCAACACATAAAATTTTATATCGATACATAGCTTTCTGAAGTCCCTGGAATTGTATCTCAAAACTATTATGTATCGATAGAAAAGCTTATGAGTCGATACATAACTCTTTGATGATCCTGAAATGTAAATCTAAAAACTGCATGCATCGATACATAAATTTCATGCATCGACACATAATATTTTGATGCCCCTGTAATACTTGTATGAATCAACACAAAACCTTATGTATCGACACAAAACATTATGATGACACTGGAAAACATTTTGAAATTTATATGTATCGATACATAATATCATGTGTCGACTCATACTATGTTTTAAATTCAAAAGTTAAATTTACAATCAGTATGCATCGACACATACGCATTATGTATCGACACAAAATATTTTGATGATCCTGGAAAACATTCTGAAACTTATATGTATCGATACATAATATCATGTGTCGACGCATACTATGTTTTAAATTCAAAATTTAAATCTGCAATCAGTATGTATCGACACATACGCATTATGTGTCGACCGGTATAAAAGTCTTGGTTCTGTAAAACGCTATAATAGGTTTTTGTATCGACTCAAAACATAATGTATCGACTCATCCTGTTACATGTAACTAACATGAGTCAACGCATGACCAACATGCATCGACTCATGCACTTTCTTTTTTCACTAACCGTTTTCTGTTATAAATATAAGCAAGCATTTTCTTCAGAATAACACACAACAATATAGAAGATTGTGTGCAAAACAATTGTGAGCAACCAGAAGCTTTTGATTCCTTCATCTTTATTATCTTCTCAACCATCTTACATTCAACAACAACAAAGAAAATCAAACATCCTTGTTGAATTGAATCAAGCGGTGTGAGATAATGTTCAGCTGAGTATTGAAGAAGTCTAGCTGAGTTGAAGGTTGAAGAGGAAGCTTCAAGAAATAAACTAGAGGGTTTGTACTTCAAGAATGGGTGTGTTCTTGAGGGTTTTGTCAGTCACAGTCACGTGAGTCGGATTCAGCCGTAGCGAGGGGTTTGGAAATCAGAAGGATTTTGAACAAACAGGTCGTGGAAGCGGAGGATCATTCAGTGACTTTGCAGGGAATCTTGATACAACTCTTATCAAGTGGTGGTTCTTACAATAAGAAGAAGATCATAGGAATTTCTTGCTTTCTGTGTAGTGTAACCTTACTATCAAACAATTCAGCATATTGATATAAAAGTTCTCAGTTTCGATTGTGAAATTGAGAGGGAGACGTACCCACACGCGAGGACGACAGTGGGGAACTTCCTTACCAAACTGCCTATGTATCATTCTCTCTTTCTTTCTCTTTACAGTTTTACATATTCTATAATTTTGCAATTCAATTGGCGTGCTAAGTTTTACAGTCTAATGATAAACATAGTGGCTCAAACATTTTCACCAAACATATGGTTTTGTTATTATTGAAGACTACTTTAGATTTACTTGGACTATATTCCTTCATAGAAAAAATGAAACTTTTTCTGCTTTTTAAGAGTTTTACAATATTATCTCAAAATAGAATGAAATTGAAAATAATTGCAATTCGAAGCGATCATGGAGGTGAATTTCAAACCATCTCTTTGATAAGTACTGTGAGAAGCATGGTATTGAGCATAATTTTTCAGCACCTTGAACTCCACAGCAGAATGGAGTTGTGGAGCGTAAAAATCGCGTCTTAGAGGAGCTAGCAAGAACAATGCTCAATGAAGGTGGACTGCCAAAATATTTCTGGGCTGATGCAATTAGCACAGCCTGCTAGGTTTTAAACAGAATACTAATTCGTCCAATTTTGGATAAAACACCTTATGAAATCTTGAAAGTAAGAAAGCCAAACTTGTCACATCTTCATGTATTCGGTTGCAAATGTTTTGTCTTAAATAATGGAAAAGAAAATCTTGGAAAATTTGATGCAAAAGCAGATGAAGGTATCTTTCTCGGATACTCACAATCAATCAAAACATATAGGGTATACAATAAACGTCTACTTACAGTTGAGGAGTCAGTTCATGTCTCTTTTGATGAATCTTATCCGAAACATGTCGAAAAAGGTATTTCTCTTGATGGTGAAGGTGTATCTACTGAAAATATACTCAAAGAAACTGTTGAAGAAAATGTTCAATCCAAAATAGTTGATGATAAGGAAGAAAAAGATACAAGCCCTTCAAAAGATGAGGAAGAAGAGAAAATGGAAGCAAATGATCTTCCACTAGCTTGGAAGTCCTCTAAAGACCATCCCATTGGCAACATATTGGGAGACATCTCAAAAGGAGTAATGACTCGCTCCAAGATAAGTAATTTTTGTTATCATTTTGCTTTCGTATCACAAGTAGAACCTAAGAATGCTAAAGAGGCCTTGATTGATGAATTTTGGCTAATGGCCATGCAAGATGAGCTAAATCAGTTTAAAAGAAATGATGTTTGGGAACTTGTCCCTCGTCCGCGAGACCATCATATCATAGGCACTAAATGGGTTTTTAGAAATAAACTTGATGAAAACGGAATGATAACCCGCAATAAAGCACGCTTGGCAGCACAAGGGTATAACCAAGAGGAGGGCATTGATTATGAGGAGACTTATGCTCCAGTTGCTCGCCTTGAGGCTATACGTCTTTTGCTCGCTTATGCGTGTGCAAAAGATTTTAAGCTTTATCAAATGGATGTAAAGAGTGCCTTTCTTAACGGAGTCATAAATGAAGAAGTGTATGTCTCACAACCTCCCGGTTTTGAAAATAACGAATATCCAGATCGTGTATTTAAATTAAAACGAGCTTTATATGGTCTTAAACAGGCTCCTCGGGTTTGGCATGAAAGACTTAGTAAATTTCTACTTGATCATGGCTATTCAAGAGGTCAAGTGGACACTACTCTTTTCATTAAACGTAAAGGAAAACACATCCTTTTAGTTCAAATATACGTAGATGACATTATTTTTGGTTCAACTAATCTACACTTGGTCGAGGAATTTTCCAAAATCATGCAGGGTGAATTTGAGATGAGCCTCATGGGGGAGCTAAACTACTTTCTGGATCTCCAAATAAAGTAGCTCAATGAAGGCACAATTATATGTCAAACAAAATATTGCCAAGATTTGCTTAAACGATTTGGGATGAACAACTCTAAACCAATTGATACTCCCATGCATACCAACGGAAACTTAGACAAGGATGAACACGGTAAAAGTGTCGATGTCAAGAAATATAGAGGTATGATCGAATCACTCTTGTATCTTACAACATCTAGGCCTGACATTATGTTTAGTGTTTGCATGTGTGCACGATATCAATCAGATCCTAAGGAATCCCACTTGAAAGCTGTCAAGCGTATACTTAAATATCTCAATAATATACCTAAGTATGGGCTATGGTATTCCAAGGGAAGCGATTGCAGTTTAGTAGGTTACTCTGATTCTGATTTTGCTGGCTGCAAATCAGATACGAAAAGCACTAGTGGAACTTGTAACTTGTTTTCAAACTCTTTAATAAGTTGGCATAGAAAAAAGCAAGTTTCTGTTTCTTTGTCAACTGCTGAAGCTGAATACGTTGCAACCGGTAGCTGTTGTGCTCAGATCTTATTGATGAAGCAACAATTACAAGACTACGATATTCAATTAAAACGTATTCCAATCAAATGTGACAATACAAGTGCTATAAACCTCACTAAGAATCCAGTTTTACACTCACGCACTAAACACATAGAAATTAGACATCACTTTCTACGTGATCATGTTGAAAAGGAGGATGTTACGTTTGAGCATGTTGATACTAAAAATCAACTTGATGAAATCTTTACAAAACCACTTGCAACGGACCTCTTCTTCAACATCCGCTGTGAGCTAGGGATTTTAGATCTCTCATACGTGATGTCCTAAACATATATTTAATTGAAATATATCGATGTCACACCATATTGTTAAGATGTGCTTTTTCAGCTTTAGTACGTGTGTTCACTTATCAAATAAAACAAGGTAATATCCTTCCTATCTTCACCCTCAATCACCTATAAGTTGATCTAAATGTTCACTGGAAATGTCTTCGTATATCTCTTTTACATAAATTGTGCTTATATAATCTAACTTTCTTATCTGCCAATGCATTACTCTTAACGTGATTACCTTATGTTTACTCTTCTATTTACTCACTTATTGATAACTTTATGCATGACATTTTGTGTGAATTCCAAGTCCATTAACTGCTGAAATTGTATATAAATTTTCCTATGTGCTGAGTTTCTTGAAAATTTTGCTTATTCTCTTTTTGATATGGTCAAAGGGGGAGAAGAAGAGTGTGTTAGTGAAGATTATGCTTGTATTAGGAAGAAGATACACAAACTCAGGGGGAGCGAGCTTTTTTCGTTCACGACACATCATCAGATATTTGCCATCATCAAAAAGGGGGAGTTTGTGAGCAACCCCTTCATAGATTGATTTTGAATGATTGCAAATATAATATAACATGTTTGAATAAGCCAAAATTACATTTCTCTCATAATGCATCATTATGAGTCGACACATCAAGTTTTGTATCGATACATAGCTTTCTGAAGTCCCTGGAATTGTATCTGAAAACTATTATGTATCGATACAAAATCTTATGAGTCGATACATAACTCTTTGATGATCCTGGAATGTAAATATAAAAACTGCATGCATCGATACATAAATATCATGCATCGACACATAATATTTTGATGCCCCTGTAATACTTGTATGAATCAACACAAAACCTTATGTATCGACACAAAACATTCCGATGACCCTGGAAAATGTTTTGAAACTTATATGTATCGATACATAATATCATGTGTCGACTCATACTATGTTTTAAATTCAAAAGTTAAATTTACAACCAGTATGTATCGACACATACACATTATGTATCAATACAAAACATTCTGATGATCCTGGAAAACGTTTTGAAACTTATATGTATCGATACATAATATCATATGTCGACGCATACTATGTTTTAAATTTAAAATTTAAATATGCAATAAGTATGTATCGACACATACGCATTATGTGTCGACCGGTATAAAAGTCTTGGTTCTGTAAAACGCTATAATAGGTTTTTGTATCGACTCAAAACATAATGTATCAACTCATCCAGTTACATGTAACTAACATGAGTCGACACATGACCAACATGCATCGACTCATGCACTTTCTTTTTTGACTAACCGTTTTCTGTTATAAATATAAGCAAGCATTTTCTTCACAATAACACACAATAATATAGAAGATTGTGTGCAAAACAATTGTGAGCAACCATAAGCTTTTGATTCCTTCATCTTCATCATCTTCTCAACCATCTTACATTCAACAACAACAAAGAAAATCAAACATGCTTGTTAA